CCAGGGCCCAGCACTCCCCTCCCCCAAGCCACAGGGGCTCCCTTTTTCCTCTTAACCTGCCTCCTGCATCCACCACCCCGAGGCCAGGGCAGGGTGTTCCTCCTCCTCCTCCTCCCTCACTGTTTGAAACGCCAGCCTCAGCACCTGGGGGTGGAATAATAAACTGACTGGGGGAGGGAGGTTGAACTATATGTATGTCTTCTGCAGCTGTGTTGTAGAAGTGATGATCTTGGCATCCTCCACTCCTTGTTAACCCAATGGAAAGCACAGTCAAGTCACTAAGTTAGACTTATTTCTGTACCAAAAAAAAACCCCAACCCAGTTTCAGCTGAGCAGTTTGTTTTCTTCAGGATAAGGCTTATAAATCCTCCCGAGCCTGGTGGTCAAGGTCATTTTTGCAAAAAACAAACCAAACCCCAAGAAGGGAGAAGGGGTTATATTTCCAGGCAAACAAAATGAGAGGCAAGAGCTTTGTTCCCCAAGGATAAACCTAGGAATAACCAGAGCTACGGCTGCAAAGTGCTGGTAACAGAGGGCTGCCAAGTAAACTGCCAGCACTTTCCAGTGCCTAGTTAAACACCCATCCTCAGAGTTTTAGCTCTCCCCAGCAGTGGGGGGAACACTGCCCAACCCCAAATCCAGCCCCCAGCATTTAAAGGAAACAGCAGGTCTGCCACCCTTACACAAGTTTGATAAGAACAGTATTTCTCAAACAAGTCACCCGACTCAGAATCCTAAACTCAAGCCTTGTTATTCAGATGTTCTTACATAGTTGGAAGCATTCAAAAGAGGATGACCTTCAAAACATTAAGGACTAAGAACAGATGAAATAACACTTTAAAGAAAAGACTTTTAATGTAATACTATAACCCATACATGGACTGTTTTAAAAAAAGAAAAATTAGAATGCAATGAAATCTTAAAGTGTATTCCACCATGACTTTTATCTAAGCATGTTTCTTGTAGTCTGAAATTTTAGTCAGCAGTGATGACGGATGGGCACAGAAAGCGAAGAAAGATTAATTGAATGGAATGAAAGGCAGAAGAAGAGAATATTTCTGAAGATTGTTTCCTCCCACAGTATAAATTTAACAAGTGTTTTCAAGTTTAGTTTAATTAAGCTATAATTACCTTCTGTGGAAGTGTTGGTGAGAAGCCTGCTGCACAGCTGGAATAACACAGTAACTTTAATTACTCACCACCCCCAATAAAAAAAAAAGTCATCTTTTGAGATGTTTTTACCAGTAGCAAGAACAGTTTAAGTATTATTAAGCAGTATTTTAGCAAGTCTTTTTGAATATCTGTCCATTACCTGATGGGTAAAAAAAAAAAAGCTACAGCAGGACAAGAACCATGCATCAACTAACATCGCTAGCATTGCATTTTCTCTTACTTAAAAAGCTACGCTGAACACAGAATACCATGCATATACAGATATTACCAACTACTTTGAAATAACTGCTCTTCAGTATGAGGGAATTAGCAGCTTACCCTAAAAAAGTTTTTCCTTTAGCTAAATAAATGCTATAAAAAACAAAACAAAAAAGGTGAATATGTTGGCTTTATCGATACAGATGAAAGTGTGTCAACTATAGCGTTCACTCTGGAATCGTGGAGCATAGTTTCTGGCAGTTTCATTCTCCTGTGTTGTGATTAAGTCTATAATAGCTGTCAGTACTGCTGTATCTCTGGATTTAATATCATTCCAGTCCACAGGATGTGGGTTTTCTATTTTTTCTTGTAGAAGATCATCAAGCTCTTGTCTTAAATTGGGAAGAGGTGGTGGGAAGGGGGGGGGGGGGGGGGGAGGGGGGAAGAGAAAAAAGAAGAGAGACAGGCAATTAGAGCTACACACAACATTACTACAGTAAGTTCAAAGCCCTTGGGGCCTCTGTTCTCCTAATCTTTACACCTGCTCTTCTCCTGTCAATTCATTTCAACATTGCTATTTTCAGGATCAAAAGCTGCTTCTCAAAAACTAGCAGTTTTACCTTTTATGGCAGATGACCATCTCTGGGTGTGATGGCCTTTAACAGCCTATACATCCATTAGCTGACTATTGCAGGATTAAAAATATTTGGGTTAAAAAAAAAAAAGGTATGATTTCTAGGATCTAATATTAAACAGAGCTCTATTCAGCTCCTCCTTCCACCGGCACCTACTACTGCTAGCGAAAGAGCCCCATCCTCATGTTTCCGTATCCACGTGGACATTTCATGGACTGATCAAGTCATCCTACAGCTTTTGCTATGGAAAACCACAGCTATTAAGCTCTTCGAATCTCTCGCTGTAAGACATGTTTACAAATCCTTTAAATCCACCCTATGACTCTTCTCTGAAGCTTCTACAGTTTTTCAATATCCCCATGAACTTTTCAGCAGAGGCCGCACCAGCTGAACAAGAACATCACCACCCTATTCCTGATGCCTCAGTAGGCACACAGCCTCATTCTCATTAGCCAGGCTACTGCACTGGAAACAAACAAACAAGAAGTCTGAGTGCCTGCTCCTAAGGCCAAACACAAGGGAGCACATTACTGTTCACT